TCTTGCTGGATGTTCTGCATATTTGACCATGGTCCACAGACCGGTGCCATAAGGATGACATCAGGTGCTTGTTCCCTGATGATCTCCATGACCATGTGTTGTCCCTTGGATGTCATTACATCGAATCCTGTGCGGATGTCCACGGGAGTCCCAACCTTAAGACCTGATAGTGCACAGCATTGACTGAATCTGGCACTTCCTGCAAAGATCTCGAGAACGTGGATCTTTCCCTTACGTACACAATTCCAATGTGCTTGTTCAGGAATGGATGTGAGGTCCTCGACGAACATGTTCTCTGCTGGATGAGGTACTGCAGGTTTTGGAGTTGTTTTTCCCGCGATACGTAATGGCACTGAGGATCTTGGCTTAGGAGCTGGTGCGGATGATTCCTTTTTCTTGGTATCTACAGAGGAGCCTGGTTGCTCCTTCTGCAAGGATTCTCGCTCTTCAGGTAACAGAAGGTCAATTCCGGGTTTCCCCGGAGGGATGGTCTCATCCTTCCTGAGCTTCGTCATGTTAACCTTGATGAGCCGAGTCCCAAGATCAAGGACTTTTCCCTTCAGCCATATTCCTTCCTTGCTTCCATCGGAACGAATCTTGGATTTGTCTTCCTGCCAGTAAAATACCTTGTCCTTCACCTGAAGAGGCTTCGAACTCATTCGGAGATTTTGAGCAAGGTCTCGTCGGATGTCCTCGGATTGACGTGCTTCTTGGAAAGCTTGCTTTGACAGCTGCTTGATCTGGATGGCTGTCATCTCTTCTTCATTCCTGTCAATCGTTAACTGCGACATCGAGTTGGATGAGATCTGCTGGTCGTCTTCCGAATGCGAGCTCCAATGGTGTTACTCCCCCGTAGGTGACGGTCTGATTCCTGACAGTTGCAGCGGCCTTCACTAGCTGCCTGTAGGTCACTTTCTTCAGTGTTGCAGGTGCAGTGCCGGCTTTGATGGAACTCAGCATGATCTTGAGTTGTGCCTTCAGGAGTCGAACTGCTGCTTCAGCTCGATTTGGCCATGGTGTATTCGGTCCCAAAGATACCGGAGTGATGTCAAGGGACTGATAGAAATGTTCCCATGTATCTGTCATGAAGGCTTGATCTGCGACAACTGATTTGGGCTGCAAGTGGTACTGGTCAAAATAGTTCCTGAGGACAGTGATGTTCTCGACTTCTTGCGTAGTTGTCACTGCCTCTGCAGTGAGCAATGTTGTTGCTCCATCCAGGATGACAAAAACAATGATGTGTTCTCCGTTCCAAGAGGAACTTGACAGTGATCAATGAATGTCATGTCACCAAAGGTGTCCGCTCGAAGTCCGCTTGTCTTGCTTCGTGATGGTGCATGTTTCGCCACTTGGCAAACTTCACACTCACTTCGGATCTTGTCAAATAGATCGAATGTTGATTTCGGCAAATGAAGTGCTCGGGTTCTAAATCGAAATTGATCTGTTGTCATGTGATGATGCTGCAGGTGGAGTTTCTTCAACTCTTCTGGATTTGACAATCGCTTGTGGATTCTGCCTAGGGCAAGCGGAAGCGATGTTGGTTCTTCTGAGGATGGTGCGAAAGGATCTGGCTCAATAGTCGACTGGCCCCTCTTGTCGATGATCCTGTCTGCTGCCGATCCTGAACCTGCTTCTACGTCCTTCAGCGAATTGTCCGAGAAGGTGAAAATGGTCTTACCAATCCTTCCAAAATGTCTGGATCTCCACCTGCGGATGCATCAATGATTTCCGTGGTACGTTCTCGGCTGATGTGATCAGGATTGATTGGACATTCCTTGGCTCCATTTGGTGTGAACAGCGCCTTTCGGGGCGTGATGTGCACACGGATGAGCTGCTTGTTCTTCTTGTCAAGGATCCAATGCTCCTGCTTTTGAGACCCAATGATCTTAGGAGTTGCTAGGTCCTCCTTTGTCTCCGATGATTTTGCTGCACAAACAGTTTCGCTCCTGGTGAGATCCCCGGAGGGAAATTTGATGCTGTTACCATCGTCATAGACATAGTTGGTGAGGCCCTTGTGAGCAATTTCTCCATGTGCCTTCACTCTTGCAACTCCAGCGAGATCGACGAGTGCATGTCCTGTACCGGATACTGGAACTGCTTGACGGTTCATGCCAAAGGCCTTGCATGTGATGTTATCACATTGAGGTGTGTGCTCGATGGTCATGTAGAGGTTCCGCATCTGGCTAATGCTGAGAAGGATCGGTACAGTTCCTTGTTCAAGGACGTCGATGTTTGTACTGCACGGAGGAGTTGTGTGACATCGAAGATGCAGGGTCCAATTTACCCTGGCGGTCTCTCCGTTTGCAAAAGTGAACTTGGTCTCGGCCGGGATGTACTCATAGGAGATGATGTCCTTCATTGGTTCGCCTGGGTAAAACGCTGGATTGCATGCCAGCTGCCCATAGATCTGGTACATCCATTGTCCAGAATCGCATAGGTCGCGTTGTGCTGAGGGTTGATGACAGGCGCCATCAGCTTTGTTGCCAAAAGGCTGTGATTTGTTGTGACGGACAGATTGTGTTCTGAAACTGTATCTGATTGGATCAGCTTCTCGTGGATGGCCTTTTTCCCAGGATACTCATATGCATCATGGAATGCCATTAACGCTTGTCCTGTGCTGGATGTCTCATGGGATGAGTACCAGCCATGTTCGTTCCATGTCCAATCTTGGTCTGTCCAACCGGCATAGGTAGGCTCTATGGATGGTGCAGTCTGCTGGATGGCGGGCTGCTCCTCCGTCTTCTCTGCGGTGGCTGCGAACGTCTTGGATTTTCCTTTTTCTTGTCCGCTCTTTCCTTTGCCACTCTCATAGGATGGATAACCTTTGTTTCCATCATAGGGATATTGGAGTTTGATTTTCCTTTCTTGCCCTTCCTTCCTTTGCCTTTTCCCCAATATGCCTGGTCGTAGGGATCATAGTTTTCGTTGGCCATATCGGCCTTTCCGCCAGAACCGCTTTTTCTGAAGGGTTTGAAGCCACCTCGTTGGGGACTGCCCTTCTTGTTTCCTGATTTTCCTTTTCCTTTTCTCTTCTTGAACTTGAAGTTCCGCCCCGACACTTTTCTTGCTATGAACGCATCGTTCTCCTCGAGGACCCAGAACGTCTCTTCATCGTTGTTTGACATGAATCCTTCAAGTCCTTCTTCATCCTCAACCCAGAAGCCTTCTTCTCCTTCATATTCACCTTGTTCGATGATGAAGAATGTGTTGCTTCGGTTGCCTCCTTGAGGTCGGATGGATGGATCTTGGAGCGATGTCCTCGTTGTAATGAAGAGTTCATGGTAGTGCGTCTTCAGCATCTCATAGGAATAATTCTCGAGTGAGATGTTTCTCAATGACATTGCACTTGTGAGTCGTTCTCTTTGTTGATCTGACAACTCACTTTGAATGATGAAAAACTGTGCAATGAGATTATCCCCGAAGGGAAATGCGTCCCGCTGTCTGTCCTGCATTCCTTGGATATACTGTCTGAGGACTGTAGGATCGTCCTCATTGAGCAGGGCTGGAGGCGGTGCTCGAGCACCGGCTGCTTGCTGATGTCGAGCAATTTTTCTTGCATTTGCGTCCTGAACGGACTGTCGAAATGATGGGGACTGTGCCGTGAAAACGGGCATCAAGTCCATCCATGTTGCCTTCAATCTCATGAGAAGGATTTCGAATTTTGAGGTAAAAATGAGGAACTCTTGGTTCTGCCTTCGATGATTGAACAAACTGAGGAGTCTGTACAGATACACGTTGGTCGCACCCTTCAAAAAGTACTTCTTCAGCGTGTTCTTGAAATAGTTGACTCCTTCATCAGGATCTTGCAAAAGGTCATTTTGGAGGACTGCCTTGTACATATATGCATCTCCTGTAAGTCTACTCTTCAGGAGAGGTCCTCTCTTTGGTGCTTCCACCGTTGTGATGGTCACCCAGTCGTCCACGAGTTCTTCATACCTGAACCAGCTGACTTTTCCGTCGTACGATGGCGGCTGCTTGGCGGTCATCGATAAATTTTGTGTTTCCTCCGTATAGCTCGGCTTTGCCGAACTTGTATAGGCTTTCAGATGAAGCCTTCTCCATCTGATGACATCTTCCCTTGGATCTCTGCGGAAAACCTGCTCCGCTACCACGAATTGAGGCCCAAACTGGAACCCTGTGGTAGTTGAGGTCGTTGTTGGTCCCTGAATCTATTCCGGAGAGAGTCCAATATGCCAGTAATGGATGATTGGAGGATGGATTGTCCCTGATGGATTGTCTTGTGGATAATCCTGTAAGCGGCCTGCAATGGCTCTTTTGTCTTCACGCTCGGATGGTCGTGATTATGCAAAAGGGGCCCTTGAGCCAAATGTTGCGGGAGATCAATGGTCTGAAAAACAGAACACAGGGGGTGGGGGGTTTGAGGGTGCAGCTTGTTTCTTTGAGGGCAGCATTTTTTCTGGTTGGTTTCAAGGGATATTTGTTGGAACGTGATAGGGGTCCCGACCCCTATCTTGACAGGAGGTATGTTTTTTGGACAGGAGGACCGTCTTGTCTTGCAAGGGGATTCAGCATACCGTTACGCCGGGCGGAAAGGGCCCAGCCTCCCTGTGTCTTTGTAGCAGAGTCCTCTGTGTTCTGGCCTTGGAAGACTCAAGCGCAGCACAGATTTACTTGCAATGGGATTTGACGGTATGTACGCATGTGCCTTAATTTAATGATAACGTCGGATGAATATGGAGTAATAAACCATCCTTCCCTGCCCCCCCCCAGAAGGTCAAACCTTCAGATTAGACAGGTTGTGGGGGAGAAGGCGGTCTGCTGGAGAAGGTAGTTGTAGGTGGCCGCTCTGCGGGATTGAGGACGCATCCGGAAATTGGATCAAGGGTGCGTGGAAACGGTTCTGCCAAACGTGCCGTACAAAGTCGGGGTGGTCCAGGAGGCCCGCGTGAGAGTTTGCAACGCTTTGGTCTTGGATCTCAAAAACCGCGCCTTAAAAGGCGACCTCACTCTGCCTCCCTTGGCTTGGTTTGGGCCATGAGGCTCATCACGAGAAAATGCTGCAGCAGAAACCTTCAGGGCAAACTCGGATGGCCAACCTGACTGCCAGCGCCTTGACTTCTCAGGGCTTGGGGCGTGCCATCAAGCTAAATGACCGCATACCGAGGAAAGAGTAGTGGTTCAGGTTTATCGACCCTGGGTTCCCATTTGTCAGATTTCAATCTTCTCCAGGAAGCTAAACGCGAATTGTGTTTCATTCTAGATCCCCCATTTGCTGGTTCGGATGTTAGGAGACCTCAAACATTGGTGAGGTTTCTTGCGAGAAGCATTCTGACCACGTGTTAGGAGAATTCCTTTTCGAAGCAGGTGATATATGATATATTTTTAAATCTTTGGATGTTGCTTTGCAAGAACCATGGGCGTTGGATGCCTGGTGATGCACAGGCCTCACATGGCAACTAACCGTGGGGAATCGCATTGTTCTGTGTTGGGAGTTTCGTATATAAGCCCAAAAGGCAATGTGCAGGCCTGGATTTGCTGTCCATCCTGACACACGCTGCGGTACGATATGGCAGCTAATTAGACGCAGCACAGCTCAGACAGCCAAGACACGTGTGCAAGCTAATCACCCACGCCCAGACGCCAAAAACGACATAAGCGGACTGTCACGCAGTTCCCTACAGGCCTGCTATGTCCTACTGCAATGCTGAAGTTTTGACTTGAGCTGCAATTGCAGCCATGGCAGCCCGCCAGATCGACAGAAAGCCCATATCGACCCAACATATTGAAGACACATTGGCACCAACGTCGACTTCTCTGAGTAAGTTAGTTAAGTAATTTACCTCGTTGTGTGCCAGTGGGAATTGATGCGAACCAATTTGACAATGGTGACGTTCTCTCGCACTTTCTCTACCGGGTCTAGTGCGAACTTGCTTTGTCTGCATTGTCCGCACCTCAAAGGTTTAAGGATGTTGGGTCTGGTTGCTGATTTGGCCATGTCACTGATTGCTTTGTTGACCCCATATTAATCAACCTCATGTCCAACTTTCTCCGGGGGGGTGTCCATTGCTGGGAAAACGCAGGGGAAACTCAGACCACTTTGGGAGGGGCCATGCATTAGCCCCCTATCAAAAAAAAGGGTTGGTTGATGATTCTGATCAGACCACTTTTGGAGGGGCCATAAACCAGCTTCCCATCAAAAAAAGAAACAGGTTGATTGATGATTCTGATCAGACCACTTTTGGAGGGGCCATAAACCAGCTTCCCATCAAACAAAGAAACAGGTTGATTGATGATTCTGATCAGACCACTTATTGAGGGGCCATGAACCAGCACCCTATCAAATAAAGAAACAGGTTGTTGGTTGATGATTCTGATTAGACCACTTTTGGAGGGGCCATGAACCAGCACCCTATCAAATAAAGAAACAGGTTGGTTGATGATTCTGATCAGACCACTTTTGGAGGTGCCATGAACCAGCACCCTACCAAATAAAGAAACAGGTTGGTTGATGATTCTGATCAGACCACTTTTGGAGGCGCCATGAACCAGCACCCTATCCAAAATTGAATCAGGTTGGTTGATGATTCTGATCAGACCACTTTTGGAGGCGCCATGAACCAGCACCCTATCAAATAATGAAACAGGTTGGTTGATGATTCTGATCAGACCACTTTTGGAGGCGCCATGAACCAGCACCCTATCCAAAAAAAAAACCGGTTGGTTGATGATTCTGATCAGACCACTTATTGAGGGGCCATGAACCAGCACCCTATCAAATACAGAAACAGGTTGGTTGATGATTCTGATCAGACCACTTTTGGAGGGGCCATGAACCAGCACCCTATCAAAAAAAGAAAAAGGTTGATTGATGATTCTGATCTAACCACTTATTGAGGGGCCATGAACCAGCACCCTATCAAATAAGAAACAGGTTGGTTGATGATTCTGATCAGACCACTTTTGGAGGGGCCATGAACCAGCACCCTATCAACAAAAGAAACAGGTTGGTTGATGATTCTGATCAGACCACTTTTGGAGGCGCCACATGATTCTGATCAGACCACTTTTGGAGGCGCCATGAACCAGCACCCTATCCAAAAAAAAACAGGTTGGTTGATGATTCTGATCAGACCACTTATTGAGGGGCCATGAACCAGCACCCTATGAAATAAAGAAACAGGTTGTTGGTTGATGATTCTGATCAGACCACTTTTGGAGGGGCCATGAACCAGCACCCTATCAAAAAAAGAAACAGGTTGGTTGATGATTCTGATCAGACCACTTTTGGAGGCGCCATGAACCAGCACCCTATCAAACAAAGAAACAGGTTGGTTGATGATTCTGATCAGACCACTTTTGGAGGCGCCATGAACCAGCACCCTATCCAAAAATTGAAACAGGTTGGTTGATGATTCTGATCAGACCACTTTTGGAGGCGCCATGAACCAGCACCCTATGAAAAAAAGAAACAGGTTGGTTGATGATTCTGATCAGACCACTTTTGGAGGCGCCACGAACCAGCACCCTATTTAAAAAAAGAAACAGGTTGGTTGATGATTCTGATCAGACCACTTTTGGAGGGGCCATGAACCAGCACCCTATCCAAAAAAATAAATACAAAGTAGGTTGGTAGATTTTGCTTGAGGTTCGATGTCGCTCAGTTGGGTCCGGCGGTTTGCTTCAGGCCAGGCGCCCACCAAGGGCACCATGCGCGGGGTGCTGGGCAACGAGTGGCACTTGGAGGTGCCCTTCTTCAACCAGCGGCCTGGACGAGGGGGCGTAGAATTTCTTCCAGTTGCATTTGCTGAATCGTATGTTGTGAGTTTCTTCCTCGTTGGTCTTAAAAGGAAACGATTTCAGTACTGAGAATATGTTTTATTTTTTCCATCAGGCCTAAGCAAATGGAAGGAAAGGGCACAACTACCCCCTTTTCAACAATGGAAGTATCATGGAAGTGGACCTGGGGCCTTTTCAAAAGGAACGGAGTCTTCCAGAACCTTCTCGTGAGCTTCCATGAGTCTTGGAGGGAGGGTGCACATGTTTTCTTTTGGACACTCCACAACCTGATTCCAAATAGTCGGGCCCCTGGCAGTAGACTTAAACCAAGGATGTTTCTTGACGTTTAGACCCGGCCCTGAGTTTAAGTCAGCCTTGGAGATCAGCTGAGACCATGCGGGTTGCAAAGGACGTTGGTGGTGATCCTTCTGCTGCTAACGCAGCAGTGACAATTCGGAACAGTCTACTGTGGCACTGTGAGTTTGCCATTGCGTTCTCCCAGCACCCAAAGCACCCAAAACGGTTTGCCTGATTCACCTGAAACCCTGGGAGTTGTTTTTATTGTTGCGGGGGGGGGGGGAGCTGCGAATGTTTTCGTTGACCACCATGAGGCTAATGTCAACTTAGTTCTCATGTTTGGAAACCGACAGGTGGATTCCTTGGATGACTATGGTCCTCGTTAAAGTTCGAAAACATGACTCGGCCCATGAACAGCACCCAAAACGTTGACCGACCTTGCCGGTGGTCCCACCTTGTTTCATTAAGCGCGATGCACGCCTTTGCAACCACAAAGTTGCATCTTGAGATAGGTGAAGCCCCAACATTGGCGTTTCCCCTCGAAACCGACACAAAAACATGAGTACCTGTCGCCTAAAGACAGGCCCGTGGCGCCATTGAGGACAGACGCCTTGGACTTCTTGCCGAAAGCCAACCTCACGGACCGCCGGGAACTGTTGGCAGCGGAAGCAAACCAGTCGCTGCAGTGGCTCCAGAAGAACTGGCGCGCGGCCATGTTCAAGCCACCTGTCAGACCTTGTAGCGGAATGTGTCCTTCCATTGGCTTAAGAATATGTTGTGTTCCCTTGCTGGTTTTGATAGTGGAATCTATCCCCACTGGGTTTGTTCTTTTCAGGGGTTTACGCAAATGGAGGTGTGGTTTTAGGCTACCATGGGGTAAGGGAAACCAGGACACCTACCAAAGATGTTCTCATATTTTGATGCAAACCCTTGTTCTCACATCTGCTCGCATTTCCAGCCTTTGGATTTTGAAGATCGGTTTGGATGTAAGCCAGCATTGCTGATTGGTTGTCTCATCCAACCCATCCACTCAAGACATGAGCTATGTGCTGCCTTCCGGCCTGTTGAGATTGGGGGATGTCTATTGTTTTGTGCAGTGTGGGTTTGCTTCGAATTTGCATCATCACTCCAATCATTGGCACATGCACTGGGTTACTTGTTTTTCTGGGCAAGCCGCGCACAACATTGGGGCTGGCGCCCCTTTTCAGCTGACAGCTTCAAGGGGCAAGTCCCTGGCCCTTAACACATAAAATTTAATGCCTGATATTGGCCGACCACTCCGAAGGCTCCAATTGGACAGGGCAAGGATCAGCTTTACATATGCTCGCATGATTTTGCTGGCGCCCCGGGCGAGATGAGAAATGCATGGGTTGGTGCCAGCACCTCATCGGGACCAACCTGCCAACAGCACCATCCGGGGAGGTTCAGGTCACTCGCAGAGCGCAAGGCGCTGCGGCCCTTGCCTATTCTGTGCAATGGGGACCCTGGATGAAAAACAGGCTGGCTCGCAGGTTTTAAAGCCATCAATCCGCTAGGCTTACCATGCGTGGACCAACAATGAAGCAGGTGGATACAGGAAACAAGCCAACAAATATTGCTGGGTCAGCTAGAGGGGAAAGCGGCATATCCTTCCGCTGTGCACCGGTAGCAGTGGCACCGCATCTACCAAGCAGCTGGCAGCATAGCAAAGTCTGGGCGTGCCTGCGCAGTGGCAGATATGGGGTGTTTCTCACAATGTTCTAGCCTACGAGCATGATCTTTGCAGAACTCTTTCTGCTATGCCGGACACTCGAACTGCCAATCAAGATCCTGCAGCTAAGAAGCGGCCTTTGCTTCAATACCGAGTTGTTCAGCGCATCCGACCCTTTCCCCCCTTTTTTTGGTTGGCCACCACCACAACCATCACCACCACCATCACCACCGCCACTACTACCACCACCACCGCCACCATACCCCACCACCACCA